TAGCTCCTGAGGGGGATTTGATGGGTTCTTCTTTCCCTCAGGATCTCTGATCTCCACAGTGCAGCCCTTCAAATGGGAGGAAGAAAGAAGCAGAATTAATGTATGTCACACAACACAAAGTGGATTCTTCTATTCGGAACACAACCTCAAAGCCCCCAATATCCATCCATGTGGCTGAGTGAGAAAACAATGGAACAATGTCCTACAAGAACTGGAGAATTGCCATGAATTATGAACGTGGGAGAAGTTTGGGAAGGAGGGGTGAAGCATTCAAACACTTTCTCTATTTATTCCCTTCCGAGCTCCCTAAAGTCTCCCACCTGCCACTGGAGCTGCTCCTTCTGCTCCTCCACCTGGCTCAGGAGGAAGCCTTCCGCCAGGGCCACCGCCTGGGAGCTGCTCTCTGCTCCACACTCCCGCACCCAGCCCTCCATCTCTGGGGGCAGAAGGAACAGGAGATGCTCCAGAACCACCAGATCCAGCATCTGGGCTTTGCTGTGCTTTCGTGGTCTCAGCCATCGCCTGCACAAGTCATGGAGTCGGCTGCAAAGTCCTCGGGGACCCTCAGCCTCCCGGTATTGGATGAAGTTCCAGGGCTGAACTTCTGAAGGGAGGATGGTTCCCTCTTGCAGGACCTTCTTCCCAGTTCTGGTCCAGCTCTCCCCACAGCTCCCAGGCTGAAGAGTCGTGAGGCCTTTTCTGCTCCTCTCCTTGGCCAAAGGGAGTGTCTCCATTCTTCCTCTCTCTGGCAGAGCAGCTCCAAAGGACTCCAAGAACTCTGGGGGGTCTCCAGGGTCCTCTTCCTTCACGGGACCATTTCTGGGGCTGCAGGATGGATCCCTGCCGGTCCTTCTGCTTGCTTCCTTCCTTCCTTCACCCTCCGAGGAAATTCTGGCTTGCAAAGGCTTCCGAGGGCTTTGAGGTTCTGGGTCTGGGAGGGAGAGAGAAACCGATGCCCAGGATCAGAAAGGAGGATTCAGACCTGGACCCGCTTTCCCCAACCTGCCCGCAGTCCCAAGTGGTTTCTCCCAGCACAGGGCCCAGCCCTCCCCCCGCGGAGTAGGGCTGGGAAGGAGGCTGCTGGAGAGGCCGTCCCAACCCACTTCTCCCCCCCTCCGGAGACAGGATCCGGCCCTTTTCGCATGGATAGGGCAGTTGGAGAGCATGGGACCCGGGAAGACCCCCCTCACCCGGGGCCCGTCTGGATGTCCTCTCCCCACTAGGCTCTCCCTCAGCCGCTTCCTGCAGTGCCCCAGCCCCCAGGGATGGAGGAGAGCGAGTGCAGCGTCCTAGAGAGGCAAGGCTCAGTGATGTCACTTTGCCCTCCAGTGGCCCAGGGGGGAAGCGCCTACAGTTCCATTCCCTTGGTGGAGGGCGCCCCCTGGTGGATTCGGGGCAAAGGGCCAGGAGGGTAGAAAGGGAGAGAAGGTGGAGCATGGGAGGGGGAAGGGAGGGGGCGGGGGTGATGGGCTTGGGAGTAGCAGGGGAGGCTCCAAGGAGGGAAAGGACGGTTCCTCCTCCTCCTCCTTCCCGCTCCCTCCACGCAGCCGCCCTTCTCGGGCTCTGCCTCCCTCGGCCTCCCAGCGGAAGGGCAGGGACCCCCGGCCTCTCCTGAGGAGGCCCCGGAGAGGCTCCGCGGGGGGAAGGAGGGAGGGAGGCCGGGAGGCTCCGGCGCGGAGGAGAAGGGGAAGCGGGCGAAGAAGCCGAGGGAGGAGGAGGAGATTCCGGGCCTTTCGCCTCAGAGCGACTCGCGGGGCTGCGACTCCCAGGACGGAGCCGCCGCTTCTATCATATATATGATATACACTTAAATATATTATATTAGGAGATTTCAATATATTCCGTTTTCAATCATAACCTGTAAGCCGCCCAGAGTTTCCTTGTAGGGGAGACACCATAGAACAGAACAACGGAAGGCACCCTGGAGGTCATCTAGTCCAACCCCCTCCTCAGAGAGGAATCCCTTCAGACCGTTTCAGATGGGCACCATGAAAAATGCAACATACTGTACATAAAGACAAATATGCCTCCGTCTCTCTCTCTTCCTTGGGGGGGGTTTGATATGGGGAGGGGAAACAATGGGGACATCCAGACGGATCCTTCTGGGGTCTCCCAGCCCCTCCCTCTCCTCAACCCCCATTTTCTCTGGTTACCCCCAACTTTTCCCCTCCCCCTAATCTTCAGCCCTTCTAGGATTTGGGGTAGAATCGGGGCTCCCTCCCCCCCAATCAGCCCCCCCCCAAGACTACCTCAAAGGGAGGGTCTACACCCCCTTCACAACAGGGTAGATCTGGGGGGCAATTGAGAATAACTCAGAACGCCCCCCATTTATCAGTCCCCCCCCCGTGGCTCCCCCTCCCCCTCCTAGGTGCTGATCTGGTGGTGGGGTATTATGGGGAGGGGGAGTCCTGGTCTCCTCCCCAAATTTGGCCTTCCAGAAGGGACCGAAGTTCAAATCCTGCCTGAACTTCGGGGGGGGGGGGGACCGAAGTTTCTGAAGGTGCAAAAATTCTATTTTTCTTCTACTTTTGGTGCCGTTTGTGGATTCAGCTCTGAAAGTGCCTCAGTTTCCCTCTTTCGCTTTCCGCCTCCTTCCTCTTTCCAGGCAACCGGCTTTGGGGGCTCCAGATCCAGGTCTAATGTGGGGCCTGGGAGGTCCCACTCCCACACAGTTAACGGTGGGGGGGAAACGATGGGGGTCCGACTGCGTCTCATCTCAGTTCGGCTGCCTTCCCAAGGCCCCTTCCCCTCCAGGGTCACAAGGAAGGGAAGACAGCTGCCCGTCTTCATCCCCCTTGGGGAAATGAGGTGAGGGAGGGAGTGGAGACCACGGGGAGATCCAGGCTTCTGAGGTTCCTGCCCCTCTTGCCCTCGACCCCTTTCCCCATTATGGGCGTCTCTCAGCCCCTTTTTCCCCCCAGGAGCCTCCCAGCCCCTCTCCTCCCCGCCCAGCCTCCTCCTTACCGGGGGTCTGGATTGTGGGGAGGGGGAGAATGTTTAACTAACGTCCAGAAAGAGCAGGAGGACCAATGAGAATCCTCCCTTCTGCAGCGTCATCAGTCTCCGGGCAGAGTCTCCACCCAATGGAGGAGATCGTTCCGACCAAAAAGAGAAGCAGAGAAAGGGGGAGGGGGATATTTCCCATGCAAGCCCCGGAGGGGTGTGTGGGCTTCCTTTTGCCCTCCCCCACCCAATCCGGCGTGGAATGGGCTGCACTGGATGAGAAGGGGAGGCGCAGCCCCACAGCCCCCCCACCATAGGGTGGTTGTGCCCCTCCCCCAATCACGTGGGGACACTGCCCTCCCAGCCCACCTCCCCCAGAATCTTCTGCCCATGGCTCCCTTCCTGGCAAAGGGGCTGACGGAGGGCTGGTTTCACTTCCTGACCGTAAGAGTTTGGGGACCTGAACGGACATCAAGTCCACCCCGCCATGCACACAGAGGAAAGTCTAGCTGAGAATCGTGAAGAGAGCAAAGAAAGGGGAGGCTCCCCCTTGAGCTGCAGCCCCCCCAAGACTGAAGGGATTCCCCCCTCCCAGTCTCACCCCCGTTCTCTGCCCAGAACGCTCTCCTTCTGGTGAAGTCACAAAGAACTCTGCCCGGAGACTGATGACGCTGCAGAAGGGATAAATCCCATTGGTGTTTCAGTTCATTCTGGCCCCTCCCAGCTACAAAGTCCGATTCAAAACGGTTCCTCCCCACTCCCCTCCACAAACACTCTTCTGACACGCACAAACACACGTGTTCATTAAATGTTAAGAATGTGCCACAGGAAGAGCTGCCGCACTGGATGATAAGGGGGAAGGGGCAGCCCCGCAGCCACTGAGAAGTTGGGGGGTCACCCACAGACACCCTCCCCCCAATCCAAAGGAAGGCCCCGGAAAACCCTCAGCTAAACCAGGAAAAGGCGCTGCTTCGCTTCGTGGAAGAAAAACGCGATTCGCCTCCTTGAAAGGCGCCTCGGGAACATCCTGAGGTAAATCTCAAACAGCCCAGAGAAGAAAAAGAAGGGGGGGAGGGAAACGCCCCCTTTCCACCCACAGCAACCAATCAGAGCGCAGAACCCCTCAGGCGGGAGCCCGCCCCTCACTCAGCCACAACGTTGAGTTTGGGATCTTTGTGCGCTTTCCTTCTCCAGCCATTAAATGGGATATTTTCATATTTAAAGTGTTCAAAAGAAAAAGACCCAAAATGACTTTGCTTTTGTCCATTAGATTGAATTGTCAAGCTGGAATGCACTGTGCTAAAAGAAGTAAACATCTTTCCCCCCCCTTTTTTCTCTTGTACCTCAGACTTTCTTTTCTCCTCTTTCTCCTTCCCTTAATTTCCTATTTCTATTTTTTGTGTTTTGTATAATAAATAAATAAGGTGTTGAGACTCTAGAAAGAGTGCAGAGAAAACCAACGAAGATGGAAAGTAAAATATATTTTTAAAAATGGTTGCTGGAACTGGGTGTGTCTGGTCTGAGGAAAAGAAGGATGAGGGGAGACATGGTGGCATCTTCCAATATCTCAGTGATTTCTACAAAGAAGATTTCTCTTCTTTCCGCTTCTCTCCTCTAAATAAATATAGAAGCGAACCTAATGAAAGAGGCGGAGGTGGAGTTGCACTTTACCTAGAAGAAATAACCAAACTGCTCTAGAAACGCCACAGAAGAAAGACGAAAACTTCCTTCGAGGCATTTGGGTTCCTATAAAAGGGGGGAAAGAAGCACAGAGGTGGAAGCCTTTGTCTGACAGGGAGCCATGGAGAGGGCCTTTCTCCCTACTCACAAGGCCATCATCCACACCCTCTCCCTTTCCCCTCGAATGTACTCTTTCCCGCCACTTCTACCATCCTGGCCCTTTGCCCCCAATCCAACAGGGGGCGCCTTCAGCAAAGGGAAAGGAACTCCAGGCGCTTCCCCAGTGGGATACTGGAGGGCGAACGTCACGGCTGCCGTCCCACAGGAGGCGGAGAAGGAAGTGACATCACTGAGCCTTGCCTCTCTAGGATGCTGCACTCGCGGGAGGCGGTGAAGCTGCGGGAGAATCTTGCTGGGGGACATCCAGACGTGCCCCGGGTGAGGGGGGGGACTCTTCCCGGGTCCCATGCTCCACAGGCGCTGTCCCCATGCGAAGGGGAGGGAGGGGAGGGGGGCCTGGCGGAGGCGCAAGAGGAGAGGAGAGAAGCCGGGCGAGGAGGAGCAGGAGGAGGCAGGATTCGCACGGTGCTCCCCAAGTGCCCGATCCTGTCTTCGGAGGGGGAAAGAAGGGGTGGGGGGCTCCTTCCGTGTCCTGCTGGGAGGAGCCGCTTGGGGCTGGATGCAGGTTGGGGGGAGGGGGTCCAGGGGCTGAATGCCCCTTTCTGATTCTGGGCGTCGGTTTTTCTCTCCCTCACAGATTCGGAACCTCGGAGCCCTCCGCAACCTTTGCAAGCCAGGATTTCCTCTGCTGGGAAAGGAAGGAAGGGAGGGTGGGGGAGGAAGGAAGAGAGAGGAAGGAAGGAAGGAAGGAAGAGAGCGGAAGGACTGGCAGGGATCCATCCTGTGGACCAGAAATGCTCCCGTGAAGACTCCCTGGAGCCCTTTGGAGCTGCTCTGCTGGAGAGAGGAAGGATGGAGACATCCCCTTTGGCAAAGGAGGGGAGTGGAAAAGGCCCCGCAGCTCTTCAGCCTGGGAACTGTGAGGAGAGCTGGACCAGAACCTGGCAGAAGTTCCTGCAGGAGGGAACCATCCTTCCTTCAGAAGTTCCACCCTGGACCTCCATCCGATGCCAGGAGGGTGAGGGTCCCCGAGGACTTTGCAGCCGACTCCATGACTTGTGCAGGCGATGGCTGAGCCCAGGAAAGCACAGCAAAGCCCAGATGCTGGACCTGGTGGTTCTGGAGCGGTTCCTGGCTCTCCTGCCCCCAGAGATGGAGGGCTGGGTGCGGGAGTGTGGAGCAGAGAACAGCTCCCAGGCGGTGGCCCTGGCGGAAGGCTTCCTCCTGAGCCAGGCGGAGGAGCAGAAGGAGCAGCTCCAGCAGCAGGTGGGAGTCTTTAGGGAGCTCGGAAGGGAATAAATAGAGAGAGTGTTTGAATGCTTCACCCCTCCTTCCCAAACTTCTCTCTCGTTCATAATATGAGGCAATTCTCCAGTTCTTGTAGGACATTGTTCCATTGTTTTCCCACTCAGCCACACAGATAGATATTGGGGGCTTTGAGGTTGTGTTCTGAATATAAGAATCCACTTTATGTCTTGTGACATACATTAATTCTGCTTCTTCCTTCCTTCCTCCTATTTGAAGTGCTGCACTGTGGAGATCAGAGACCCTGAGGGAAAGAAGAACCCATCAAATCCCCCTCAGGAGCTATTTTTCAGGAGGATTCCTTGGGAAGATCCAAGTCAGGACACCTCAGGAGGTAATGGGAGATCCTCCAATTCCCCACCTGTCTTCCCTTCCCTCTCTCTTCTCCCCTTTAGAATACCTCCTCCTATTTTTTTAATTATGCATTTTGAAATTATTTATTCCTTACAGAGAAACAAAGAATGAAGCATTCTGGTTTTTATGAGGGAGATCAAAGAGCGGTTGAACCTCCAAATCAAGTAAGAAAGGGAAAAGATATTAGATTTGTATTCTCCCTTTAAGAAATGAAGCAGGTGTGCAGAGTGCTCTGTTCTTCGGTCCCCCCCCCCCCTTGTTTGGCCTGGATTATTTTTGGGTTCTTCCACAACATGGAGAGCAGAATAGCAGGTTTAAGTTGCTGTTGGCCAGCATAGCTTCCTCTGTTTATCTTGTTCTGCTAGGTACTCCTCCAACTTGGAGTTTAGAAGAAGCAATTTTTAAAAGTCCTTCCAGAAATAGGAATAAATGTATCACAGTGGCTGGAACTGCTAGAGACCCTTTTGGGGGGGAAATTCTTTGACTCAGAATTGTGCAAAGCTAATAAAAATAAACACATTGCCACATTGCCATTTTTAAAAAGCCTTATTTGTAACCTGTAGTTCAAAAATAAATAAATTGTATTAAAAAATAAAGCAGACACTTAAAATCCAAAGGAAGTGGCCATGTTGAGCATGTAATTATGGTACTTTGGGCTATAAAATAATTTCCAATCCTCTGATTTGTGCCTTGATTAGGAGATCAAACATTCCCGCTTTGCAAAGCCTGTGAAATGACTTTCCCAGTGAATTTTCTCTTTATTTTTTTCCTTTCAGCCAGTGGCTAAGACTACTAGATCAATCAATGACAGACAGAGCGATAGATCAGTTGATCCAGAAGTGGGATTACTGAAAGGCATTGATCGTATTGCAGAATCAATGAACTTGATAAAACTTCCCCAAATATTTCTTCAGTGAAAGCAATTTTCAGATTTGCTCATTTTCTCACCTAAAATTAGGACTTGTGTGACGCACAGCCATTTAATTTACTGCATATCTCTGCTTTGGGAATTTGGGAACAATGGAACGGAACAGCAGAGTTGGTAGGGATCTTGGAGGTCTTCTAGTCCAACCCCCTGCTCAGACAGGAAGCCCTATAACATTTCAGATAAATGGCTGTCCAATTTATTCATAAACACCGCCAGTGTTGGATCAACCACAATTCCTGGAGGGAAGTCATTCCCCTGATTAATTGTTCCCACTGTCTGGAAATTTCTCTTTAGTTGCAGGTTGGTTCTCTCCTTGAATAGTTTCCATCTGTTGCTTCTTGGAACACTGCTATCATGTCTCCCCTAGTCCTTCTTTTCATGAAATTAGACATCCCCAATTCCAGGAACCGTTCTTAGCCTCTGGTCCAACTAATAATTTTTCTTGCTCTTCTCTGCACTCTTTCTAGAGTCTCAAGATCTTTTTTTACATCTGGCAACCAAAATGAGGCAATATTCCAAGTGTGGTCTTACCTAGGCATTATAAAGTGGTACTAACACTTCATGTCTTCTTGATTCTATTCCTCTTAATGCAGCCTGTGATTCTGTTGTGGGTTTTTTGGGCAACTGTAGCATACTGCTGACTCAGGTTTAAGTGGTTGTCTGCTAGGAGTCCAAGATCCCTGTTGCACTTACTACTCTTGAGCCAGGTATCACCTATTTTATGCCAGTGCATTGTCGCGTCGAGCGACCGGTCCGTTGATTCGATTTTCCAGTCTGTTGCTGAATTCCCTTCAAGAAATAATTTAGCGGGACCCTCGCGAGGGTGAGTGCCAAGGCACAAAGAAAAAGACACAAAACAAACAGTTTCTTTAGGTGAGGAAACACATCGCGCCTGGGGCAGACGGAATGGTCCCGGCCCCGATTGCTTTGCGCTGTCCCCTTTTATTGTGCTGTTTTCAAAACGGGGGTGCGGGGTGATTGCAGGAAACAAAGAAGTTATAAGGTTAATCATTAAAACCAAGGTACGTGACACAAAGAGCAGACTACATGACTGATAGTTTTCAGGTAGACATGTCCTAATACCAAATACACAGTTTTTAGCTGACACAGACTTTAGTAGTTAATCCTGTCAGTTTCAGTGGAATTTGCCCTGAGTGGTGTACGTGCTGGGCAAGATTTGTTCTATGGCAAAATAGCTAAGGCAGAATAGCCACAATTCCTCCTTTTCTTTATTTTTGTGCTCATGATTCTAGGTAGAGTCCTTTCTCCTCCCGAGTAGTCCCATAAGGTGGCAACAAACCCTTCGGTTTGTTGATGCCTTGCAGAACCAACTCATACGAGGAAAAGTCCTCATCCCCCGAATCGTGGCTGGGCAGAGTTAACAAAATTTCTTTGGGAGAAAAGGAGTTAATAGTGTCTACTTCCTCCTCTGACTCTAGGTCAGAAGACCATTCCAGCAAGGGTTTTTTGGCAAGATCTTTTGATGCAATGATAGATGTGAGAAAGCTAACCGATTTTTGAGTATTGTTAACTTCATTATCAAGGGTATTCAAACGATTTTTCAAAAAGGTAAGTAAACGTCCTAGTAAACATGGGCCAATAGTACAGGCAAGAAGCAATAGCACAAGAGGACCTATTAGGGCAGACAATAGGGTGGTTAACCAGGGAGAAAAATTAAACATGCCTTGATACCATGGCTGACCTTGTTGTCGTTCATTCTCTCTATCCTTCAATCGTTTACGTAATTCAGCCATGGAATCTTTGACAATTCCTGAATGATCAGCATAAAAACAACATTCTTCCTTTATTGCTACACATAATCCCCCTTTGTTTAGAAATAACAAATCTAGACCTCTTCTGTTCTGAAGGGTCATTTCAGCTAGAGATGAGAGAGAAGTTTGGAGAGCAGAAATTGAAGTCTCTATGCGTTTGAGATCTTCATCTATTTGTAAACTGAGGGTTGCTAACTGTTGATGACCAACAGCTAGAGCCGCTACTCCAGTGGCTGCACCAGCGGCTCCAAGACCCAGCAATACAGATAGTGTTACAGCTGTTATGACTTCTCGTTTCTGACGAAGGGGGAATTGTGGAGGTTCAAGTTCGTTAACAAGTTCTGGCCCTGGATAAAAAGTGATCTTTGGGAGCAATTTTACCTGAATGCAAAAGGATCCCTGAGCAATAAGAACATCACCATGGGCACAAGCGGTGGCTCCTGTGGAGCAGGCCCATACAGAATTATTACCTGGGATAAAGAATTGGCCCTTGAGGCGATCCGTGATATTGCCATTGGAGGTGGTGTACAGGGGACCGTAGCCTCCAATGTTAAGGTTTGATCTTTCTTTTGGTAGATATACATTACAGTGATACCCAGATGAAACATTCTGACAATATTGGGAGTAATTGGCAGGGATGTGTCCTAGGCAACATCCCCGACCGACTATGTCAGTGATAGTGATGGAGGAAGTGTTCCATCGGCATTGTGTGTCACTGGTGGAGTTACTAATGGGTTCATTGGAAGCTACTGCATCGTAGAATGGTGACAAATCAGATAAGCAAAGCCAACATTGATCAGTTTTGGATGAATCATTAAGTGTAGTTGCTAGCAATGTGAAAGAAGAGTTGACCAACTGTACTAATGGATTCACCTGGATATTGGGTTTTTGTAGAAAGATTGATTTCAAATTGGGATTGGGACCAACATCGTAAGTGGACATGGATATCGAGAGGCGAATTGTAAAAACATTCCCTTCATCTCCTTCACCATCCCACTGACGCCCTCCCCAAGTAAACCCAACCATCCATTGTTTTTTTGCAAGTGTCTTTCCTTGTGCAGTAAAAGTGATTATGAGTGGATTCATTCTCTGTCCGCAACAAGGCCATGGAGAGCAGGGAGGCTGTGCTTGGGCACGGGTAATATGGATATAGTCATTTTTGGTAGGTGCTTCCCACCAGATATTACCTGTGGATACACAACTCCATTTTTTACAATATCTGTCAACTACCCCACCGCAGGCGGAACGAGAAGTGCCAGTACTGTGGGCAGGGCAAAAATATAGTCTATAGTTGTCAGCAGGTGCTGGAGAGCAGGAGCCTTGCTTGTCCCATGTATCAGCTTGCAATTTTTTGTCTGCGAATTTTTCGACTCCTGTTCCCATTTCAGCAAAATTCATGAAAAGCGGAGGAAACCATGGCCATCGAGTATAGTTAGTGGTGGTATTTAAAATTTTTCCTTGAAAGTCAAGGATAGTCCAGGTATAAGTTTGAGGTTGATGTTCATTTGTAGAAGATGGTTGTATGCTTCGAGGAGTGCGACGATAGCCAAATCGTGGAATAGCATGAGACGCAGGATGCTGGAACAAGGTAAGAGTCAATCGAGAGGAAGTGGCGAACCCCTTGACCATTTTTGTAATTTCACATTGGTATTGTCCAAAGTCACTGGGTTGAACTTTCCATAGGACTAATGTGGTGGCATGAAAATAAGAAGTAATAGAATAGTGAGTGTCCTCTGCAAGCAGTGTGTCATTACGGAACCAGCGCCAAAAGGTGCCCTTCTTTTTAGTTGGAGAGCGTTGCAAACATTCCATGGCGTTAGAGATGGAGCTGTCACCGATGACGGCAGGATACCGAAGATGGCGAGCTCGAATGAGAGCCGTAGTCTTGCGATGAGTGTCGTCATAGATGAGGTGGCGTCTTCGCGCGACAGGTGGTTTGTAGCGATCAGGAACCCAGGAAGATGGATGATGCCATATGCAGGTGGTGACATCACAAGGTGGAAAGCAGCAACGAAGATGCCATCGTAGTTTGTCCCCAGGAAAAGGTGGCTCAGAATTAGCTAGAGAGGGCAATGTAAGGAAAACGGAGGATAGTGGAGGAGATGCCACTGAAGGAGTGGAAAGCAATAGAACAATGTGATTGAAATAGGTGTGATTGTGGAAAAACCCCAAGCAAGAATAGGAACCTATAGTAAGCGGAGTGACGTATAGTTAAA